TTTCTGTCTAAGCTATATTAATATTAAATTCACAAATCTCCTCCCAATTGCTCTTTTTTTTGAATGTTCAAGATTGGGTTGGCAAAGACTGAATGTTGTCTCTGATATGAGGATGTTAATCCATAATGGGGATGGGCAAGGGGAGCATGGGAGGAATGGAGGAACTTTAGATAGGGCAAAGGGGAGGGAAGGGAAGAGAATGGGCATAGGGGTAGGAAAGATGGTGGAATGAGATGGACACCATTACCCTAAGTACATGTATAAAGACACGAATGGTGGGACTCTACTTTGTGAACAGCCAGAAACATGAAAAATTGTGCTGTATATGTGTACTATGAATTGAAATACATTCTACTGTCATATATAACAAATCAGAGTAAATAAATGAATTTTTAAAAATGGGTTGGGATGAGGCAGAGGAAAAAGGTGAGTGTGAAGCTTAGAGTTAGGATTAGAGTTTTGGGGGCTGGGGTTGTAGCTCAGTGATAGAGCTCTTGCCTGGCACATGTAAGGCACTGGGTTCAATCCTCAGCACCAAATAAAAAGAAATAAATAAAATAAAGATATTGTGCCCACCTATGACAACAACAAAAATTAAAAATAAAAGAATGAAGGTTTGGGATTTAGAAATGAGATTGGTGTTAGGTGTCAGGATAAGTAGTCTGGGGTGAGGGTGAAGGTGAGTGGTGGTCAGGGTGGTGATGGGTTTGAGTTAAGGTAAGTTTTGGGTTGATTTGGGGTTAGAAAGTTATTTGGGTATCATGGCTGTGTTAGAGAAGAGGTTGGTGCTGGGAATTTCATTTTGTGGGTTTTTTTTAGTGATTAGGGCATAAAATATAGTGAAAAGGCTCATGTTAAATATGAATAATTTGGGTTGAGGTTGTACTAAGCCATAAATCTCTAGGAATTAGGGAGGCAGGCTGGGGAGGGACCTTAGCTGAGAACTCTCCACTTAGGAAATGGGACCTCAACTGCTTGTCCTTATCTATGTTCTCTTTTCCCTATATGTACTCCAGATCCATTGCAAAGTTCAACTACCTTCATCCACGGCATTTTTCTTTCTTTCTTTTTTTAACTTCTAATTTTTTTATTTGTTCTAATTAGTTAGTTATGCATGACAGTGAAATGCATTTTGACATATTGTACACCAATGGAACACAACTTCTCATTCTTCTGGCTGTACATGGTGCAGAGTCACTCCAGTAGTGCAATCACATATGTATATAGGGTAATAATGTCTGTCTCATTCTACCATCCTCCTATCCCACAGCTCCTCCCTTCTGCACAAACCATAATTCCTTCATTCTTCTATCCCCCAGCCCCACTATGGATCAGCATCAGCTTATCAGAGAAAACATTCGGCTTTTGATTTTGGGGGAGTGGCTTATTTCACTTAGCATGATATTCTATAGTTCCATTTTTTACCTGCAAATGCCATAATTTCATTCTTCTTTCAGGCTGAGTAATATTCCATCATATATATATATATATAAAATCACATTTTCTTTATCCATTCATCTGTTGAAGGGCATCTAGGTTGGTTCCAGTTTAGCTGTTGTGAATTGTGCAGCATTTTCTTCCACTTGCCACCCACCATTTGCCACCCAGATATTCACCTACACCCACTGCCCTGTCTGCCCAACCTGTGATGCTTGCAGAACTTCAAATTTTTCCACTATTTTCAAGTGTGTATAAACTGCTCCATACTGCTTTGCAGATGAAGTTACTTCCTTTGGGTTTTTGGTTGGTTGGTTGGGTTTTGGTGCTAGGGACTGGACCCAAGGCACCCTGCAGGCACTCTATCACTAAGCTATACCTCAACCAGGAGCTCTCTGTTTTAATGCCAGCTTCTACTCTCAGCCAAAATCCCTGAGCCAGGGATCTGGGGATGGGGAAGGGGCCCATGGCAAGCTTCTCTGTGAGTGATATCCCTGACTCTAGGACTAAGTACTTCATGGAGGGGGACAGGTGGGGACACACTAGCTCAAGGTCTCAGCTTGCCTATCCTGCTGTGGAACTAACCCCTCATAATCCAGGATGGAGACAAAAGCAGTTAGGGCTGAAGTTATTTCAATATGCCAAGCCCTGTTCCACAAATAGGGACTAACTGGAAGAAGGGAGCCCCATCTCTGAGATGCAATCACCCAGGACTTAGCCTCAGCAACAAATAAGTCTGGTTAAGATGAGAAACAGTGAAGTTCTAAGAAAAGAGTAATCTTGGTCCAAACACCACTGCCTCTCACCTTTCTTACCAATTTTCATACTTTTTTCTTAAATAAATATATCACCATTTGCTGTTTTACCTTTGGACATTTCCAAAGGGTTTAAATAGTTGTTAATAATTTTCACCAGTTTTGCAAGAAAATGGGTCAATGGAGCTCCTTAACACCATCATGCTGGAATTCCAATCAGGTCTAAGGCTGCTTTTGTGTATAACAACAGAATTGAAGAGCTGAGTAAATCCAGCAGAGATCCTATGGCCTGCAAAGTTGAGAAGCTTGACTATGTGGCCCTACTATACGGAAAAAGTCTGCCAACCCCTGACTTAAGTTACTGCTGCCAATGCTACTGATCCATGAACCAAACTGAGTAGTAAAGACTCAAATTACTTAGTCCAAAATCTACCAAGCACAGTGGTGCACGCCTGTAATCCCAGCCTCTCACAGGCTGAGGCAGGAGGATTGGGAGTTCAAAGCCAGCCTCAGTAGCATAGTGAGGCTCAGAGAAACCCTGTCGCAAAATCAAATATAAAAAATGGGCTGGGAATATGGCTCAGTGGTTAAGCACCTCTGGGTGCAAGCTCTGGTACAAAAAAAAAAAAATCTTTGTGGTATTTTGTAGATACAGGCAAAATACCAGTGTTTTTTCTATGCCAACAATAAACACAGAAGATTTATGTGACCTCTGATCACCAAGAAGTATGTAAGAGCCAGGCATGGTGGTGCACACCTGTAATCCCAGTGACTCAGGAGTCTAAGACAGGAGAAGCACAAGTCTGAGGCCAGCCTAAGCGACTTAGTAAGGCCCTGTCTCAATATAAAAAATAAAAAGGCCTGGAAATGTTGCTCAATGGTTAAGTGCCCCTGGATTCAATCCCCAGTACCAGAGAGAAAGAGAGAGAGAAAGAGAGAGAGAGAGAGAGAGAGAGAGAGAGAGAGAGAAGTGTGTGGTGTGTGTTTGTCGGGATTTCCTTCATGAGTAACTAATCAATTAGTCAATTCTTTTCTGCAGCAGACACCAGCTGGATGTCCTCTAATTCAATTCGATCCTGATATTGTTTACCTAGAGAACTCAATCTAGAGGCAATTCAGATCCCACAGGTTGAGGTCTCAGTCCCACAGACTGTCTCCCCCATAGTAGCCAATCACTTGCCCCTGAATTTTTTTGTTTGTTTTTGGTACTGGGGATTGAACTCAAGGACACTCAACAACTGAGCCACATCCCTGCCCTATTTTGTATTTTATTTAGAGACAGTCTCACTGAGTTGCTTAGCGTCTTGCTTTTGCTAAGACTGGCTTTGAATTCGTGATCCTCCTGCCTCAGCCTCCTGAGATGCTGGGATTACAGGTGTTCACCACTGCTCCGGGCCCCAGGATGTTCTACCTGTGCTTCAGACCAATCAGATATAAATCAGAGTTCACACCACCTCTCTTTGGGGTGTACTTCACCAATCTCTGGGAAACATTTATGTTTACCTATTTATTAAAAAGGATATTGTAAGGGCAACAGATGAAAAAACACAAGACATGTGGGAAGAGGCACAGAGCTTCCATGCCCTTTCCTAGGTAGGACACCACCTCCTAGGAACCCCTTGCAGCTTCAGCTGGAAGCTGAAGATTTGGAAGCTCTATACATCCTGTTCTTCTAAGGGGTTATGGAGGCTTCATTACACAAGAATGATTGATTACATCTTTAGCCAAATACCTTTAGCCCCTCTCCCCTCCTCCAGGTTAGGTGGAGCTGAAAAACTCCAATCCTCTAATGGTTCCTTGGTCTTCCTTGTGATCAGCTCCTATCAAGATAGGAGCTACCTAGTCAATTCATTACCATACAAAAAGCCACTTATCACATCAGAGATTCCAAAGACTTTAGTTGTGGTATGCCAGGAAATCAGACCAAATACATATTCTACAATGTTACAGGTACCTGCCTCACCGAGTTATTGTGAAGGTTAAAGTATGAATGTCAGGGGTGGCAAACACCCATAATCCCAGCAATTCAGGAGGCTGAGGCAGGAGGATCGCAAATTCAAAGCCAACCTCAGCAATTTAGCAAGGCCCTAAGCAACCTAGCTACATCCTCTCTCAAAATTAAAAAATAAAAAGGGATGGGCATGTGACATGTGATTCAGTGGTTAAGCCCTTGGGTTTAATCTCCAGTACAAAAAAAAAAGTGAGTACCTGACCCTTCAACAAAGTGATAGTTGTTATATCAGGCTGGACACTGTATGGAAAGTATTAGATACTCTCTCTTAAAGAGCTTTTTGAGCTTTTTGTTTGTTTGCTGGTTTTGCCCGACGGTAGTCCCAGGCTAAATAGTTTGAGGCATAATGATTACAAATTCAAGACCAGCCTCAGAAATTTAGTGAGGCCCTAAGTAACTTAGTGATACCAATACCTGGGATCTATAACATTACCTGGGGTGGGGGACAACTCCCTTGAGTTTAAGTTAAAACCTGACACTGTAAACCAGAATTCTCTACCACGGAAGCTTCCAGCCTCCATCAATAACAATGAATGAAAATAACCCTTAGAAATGCTAAACCCAAGCGAAAGAGCCCCAAGCGAAAAAGCAGTAATTAGCTTTAACTTGTGGATTTGGGCCTGTATGGCCCCTTCCGGTTCTCACGGTCTCTATCAATGCCCAGAGGAGAATAAAACAGAATCCCTTAAGCTTCCATCTCGACTGTCACCGCGACCCGGGCTCCCCAGTAGGTGCCGGATGCGGGGACTCAGCGGGGCTCCCTTCGCCTCAGCCCGTCGGGGCTACTGGCCAGTTACCTCGCAATTGAACTCCATCTCGGCGTCCATGGTGACGATCCGCACTGTGAACGTCTTGGGCTGCTTCCTCTTGAGCGAGCTGAAGCTCATGCGGGAAGCGATGGCCCCGGCCATGGCGCGGGGCTCAGGCCTGGGACCCTCGCGCCCCAAAGCCTGTGCTCTGGACCTGTTAGCCCCCCTGGAGGAGTTGCACAGGCCTCAGGGCCACCATGGTGGCCGGCTGGCCGGCCCAAGAGCGAGCTGGGTTGCGTGGGTCCCCAGCGGCCAGCATGGGCCGCGAGGACCCTGCCCCCAGAGCGAAAAAGGGGAGTTGGGGGGCAGGCCCTGACGGCGACAAGGGGCAGACGCTAGCAGGAGCCGACGGGGCGGGCGAGGCCCGACACTCCGAGACTGGAGTCGGGGACGCCGGGCACGCCCGGGAACAAGAATCCTAGACAGCGGCCGCCCAGACCCGGCGCGCCTCTGGGGTGCCGACGGGGGTCGCGGGGCCGCGCCGCAGCAGGGCACGCACGCGCGCGCGTGGCTGTCACCGTCCTCGCTCCGCGCGCCCGCGGGAAGCGTACCCGGCCCGCAGCTCCCAGCCTGCTCCCCGCCCCGCCCTCAGGCTTCCCCGAACGCTACACACGTCTCAACCTAACACGTCAGTTCTTTCCCAGACGCCTTGATTGGTTGACAACTCCAAAGAAAACAGGACTTTAACTTCGTCCCGCCTCTTTTAGGGCGACTCCACCAATTGGAAGTTTAACTCTGCCGGGAGGCGCTGACCTGTGCTCAGCGTTGAGTGGCTACAGCAGCAGTCACTCCGAACGCTTTTGTTCCTAGAGGGCACGCCTACTCTAGCAAGACTGGTTGAGACGGCGTAACGCCGCGCGCCTTTCCCGGGAACCTAGGTAGAGACAGGTCCCTGCGGCTCTGGAATGAGTCGCTCCCAGATCAAAGAGATACTGCGGTCCAACAAAGTACGCGCCGTAAGCGGCGCCCCGAGGGAGCGCGTTTCGGACACCCGGCGAATATTTCTATGTAGCACTTAACGACTTACTCACTTCTATGTTTGTCAAACTTTTACAACCCTTCTGGAGGCCTAGTAGGTTGCCGGCCCTTTCCCGCCTGATCCTTCTGCTTCTCTGTAAAAGAATTACAGTTGCCAAAGGGGAGTAATGACTGTATCTACTTCATGGAGCAGATGAATTTCAGAGTGTTTAGTTACATATAAAGCCTTAGAGCAGAAACTGGCACATACTAGGTTGAATTCTATTAAATTGCTCTGTTTGTAGAACAAAAAGGGTGGGAAGGCTGGTGGGGTGGCGCACACCTGTAATCCCGGCCGCTCTGGAGGAGGCTGGGATTACAGGAGACAAGAGTATCCCAAATTCGAAGCCAGACTCAGCAACTAAACGCAAGCCCGAACAACTTATTGAGACTCCATCTCAAAAATAAATAAAACAAATAAAAAGGGCTGGGGATGTAGATGAGTTTAACTCCCAGTTTAAAAAA